GAAGGCAGTCGCTTAACCAACTGAGCCACCCAGGCGCCCCTCCCTTTTCTTTTCATTTGCTGGACCACCATATTGATCTAACTCATTCCTTCCTGACATGATTATCAAATGGAAGTCAAAAAGGCTACATTTATTGTGTAAAATTCTAACCACACATCTCTGGTTAGTGCAGACTACTGGTAAAGTCAATTGTGAAAATGTTTAGTACGGATTACAAAATAAACTTTCATCCTGGGGGCCCAATTCTTAGTATTACAACCATGTAATCCCAATGACCCCAAAGAGTCATAGCCTGTCCACAGAATAGGCTCTATTAAAACTTGGGAGCAAGGCCAGAGCAGGGACTGAAACTCCATTTTACACCTTTCCTGGAGCTTTGTAGGCTCAGGCACTGTTGTAGCCAACTGCCAAGAAACAGCATCAAGGGAGCTAGTCATCACAAAAGGGCCTTTGTAAACTGCTGCAAATTAAACCAATCAACCCACTCTAAAACTAGCACTCTGAAGAAACTATAACTATCCACTTTTCTGCTTCAAAGAATTTCTTCTGCTTCTCACCAATAATTCACTTTTGCATTCCTGAAGTCACTTGTTTAGCTCCTTCTTCCAAGAAAAAGGGAAATTTTCATTAGCAAATGTGAATAAAGCCCAAATAATACCACAAAATAGTGTTGATTTTGTGGTTAAATCATGTCATTCATTAACATTTGTGAGAACTGTCCAAGCAATACTAACCAAAGAGGCTTTACTTCAAGTCAACTGGAAGTGAGTGAATTAAATGCCATCCAAACATTTAGCATTGTTAAACAGAGCCAAGAGGAGCGTTTTACCCAGCAAATGCATCTCTGTTTCAAAGTAGTGTTGGTTAACACCAAACAAGCTCACAAATCAGGATTCTTCTATAGGAGACAAGGCAAGAGAATGTGGCATGACAGGACAACACCAACTATAACACTGGTCCCCCCCCCCTCCCTATGAGTGTCAAAAGGTTGACAAAATGGAATTGAGGGTCAACTTACTAACTGATCTCTCTTCACAGACCTATTCATCTCTCAACACATTTATCCAGGTAAAAACACATTAAAAGATAAAGGATGAATTTAAAGTGCAGCTGAAAGCTAAAGAAAAGCAAAACTACAACCACAAGTAGGGTAGACAGTACAGTCCTTGGTGATAGCAGGATTTACTGACTCCCTCTGATTTACATGTCCCTTTAAGCACCTACTGGGAAAAGTATCTCTTTCTCTACACTCTCCATTTCCCTTAGTTACTACCCATCTCCCCTTTGTCTCACCCTTCCCCTACCCTCCTACCTTGATCCGAAACATGGAACTCAAAGCAATAAGGCTGATCGGTCAGACATGGAAGACTACTCATAGATAACACTCTGATCTTCCCATGGGAGGGAGCTATATAACTTAACACTGGCTACAAAGACAACTTTCCCTGAAACTTTTAAAACCGATTTTTTAAAGATTTTTAAGTAATCTCTACACCTAACGTGGGGCTTGAACTCACAACCCCGAGATCAAGAGTCACATGCTCTACCAACTGAGCCAGCCAAGTGCCCCTCAAAGCAAATTTTATTTATTTGTTGACAGAAAAATGTTCCTGCTCAGTAGAAAAAATAATTGTTCTCTCTAGACTATGCAGAGTTCTAAAGTAAACCAAAAAAGGCATAAGCCCTTTTCCTCCATATTAAAGTACTTTTCCTTACTTGAAACTTAACCCGAGTCAAACAACTTGGTTGTATCAAATACACAAATCTAAGCATTTGTGTAATAGAAAGATTTCACTAAAGGAAAATCTTTCAGCAATAATAGTGCTTCACCAGCTACTATTGTACCATCTACCATGGCTTAAAAACTTTTCTGAAAATTAAATACCAATCTTTATACTGCCAGAAATTCCAGCAATTGTGTAACAAAAGGGCTTTCTTTGACAATTTCTAAGGTTTTAAAAATAACTTAGTTTTTTTATGTACAAGTTACAGCATCAACATTATTTTTGAAGAAAATAACTTTTGCTTAAATTTGAAGATCTTCACTTCTTTGTGCATTTTAAACTGTGTGCCACTTGGCAATACCATTTTCATAAATACTGCACAAGCCAACAGTGGCAACAGCCCAAGCATGTAAATGCTGAATGGAAGTGAACCAGTTCCCACAGGTTTCATTTTCTTTCTCCCTTTTATTTATATGTGCTGTATATAAATAAAGCAGAGTATCCTTTATGCTCGTTAAATTATAGCACAGATTTTTCTTAAATGGAAAAATACCGTGTGAATGAAAGATGGGACAGACACAAAGAAAATGCTCTTTTTTACATTATTCATTAAGTAGGCCTTCTTGGTTTTAAGCATGAGTAATATAAACCATCATTACTTGGTTTACCATTGTGGGCACTCCTAACTTGCCTCAACTATAATAGAGGGGGACATGTACATAAATAGGAACATGTTTAAATCAATAAATTCTTGGCATCTTTGCATAGCTGCCCAAGAGAGTAACAAATTAGGTCCCTTAACATAAGATAAATTAAGAAGAAGCCCTCGAAGAATCAGCCTATGAATCACTATATGAGCAAAAGTGATTATTTTAGAATTGCCTGAATAGAAAAAAAGCAATTACAAACTAAAACAAAGAAAACATCCATATCTCAAAATAGGAAAAAGGTCAGTTTGGTAAGCCTCCAAGCATTACCATACCTGGCTCAGAGAAAGTGTCACTAATATCATCATCTTTGTCATCTTCATAATCCTCTTCCTCCTCTTCCTCCTCTTCATTTTCAGAAAGTTCGTGCTCACTACCAAATCCTTCATCATGGTCCTCATCATCAACATCCTCCTCGTCTTCCTCATCATCTTCAGGACTGCATTTGGTTGGCTGTTCACCCAAGTTGTCAGAGACAAAAAGGGAGTAATTGTGCTCTTCTTTTTTCTGGGATGAATCTGAGACCAATGTGCTGGCAGAAAGGCTGCTACTCTCTCCTGCTGCAATGGACCCAGGACCCTCCTGGGACAGGGGACTGAGCAATAGTTCCTGGGTTTCTTTAAAAGGCAAAGCTGGAGTGGCATGACCCTGAAGAGGCTCCATCCCTTTTTTCTCGGGTCTCTTTGCTACTGCACCACAGTAGCAGGTATTCTCCTTTGCTGCATCTGCGTGAATCTGGCTCAATAAGGGCCGGCTCTGCTGCACTGGGTTGATCTTTACCTTTGCCTTTTTTACATAGTCTTTACATTCAACATGAAAGTTCACCTTGTCATTATGATACATGTTGGTCTTCACCATGATCTGTGTGCTTGAAGTGGGTTTACTTGCTTTTTGGACACAGTCTGACAAAGGGACCTCAGCCTGAAGAGTTTTAGAAGAACACACAGGGGCAGCTGCTCTGCTTGAGATCTTTTTACTAGGGAATGAAGAAGGCAAGGGATTTTGTTTGACACTGAAAAGTGAATCAGGGTAATAAAGGGAATCGGAAACAGACTGAGAGTCCTCACTATTAAGCTGGGCCAAAGTTGGAGTTTTACTTATGACCTCTTCATCTTGGTAAGGGCTAGAAAAGTCATCAAGACCCAAGTAATCCACTTCTTTTGTTCCCCAGATGTCACAGCTGGTTAGTTTGGTGTACTTTGTTAAGTCTTCACAGTATGTATCCCACTGTTCCCAGTTTGAGGTTAAAGCACCCTCATTATCCAGGACATCTGTGAAAGACTCCAGATTTTCAATGTCTTTGCAGTCCTCCAAAGAAAGGAAGTTGTCTCTAGGATTCTGCTGATAGTTCATCTCTCTATCCTGAGAAAAGTTTAAAAAAAATCACACACCATATTTTAGGAAAGAAATATTCACCTCCATCCTCACATCCATGTACCAAATTGATAAATCAGTACTTGACCTCTGGTCTGTTTTATTTTAAGATAAAGGCTATTTACATGTCACTTTACCAGTCCATGTAATATCATTTCCCTAGGCAAGGAAAAAAAGGGAAAATATGCCCCTTTAGAGGCTTAGGTATAGTCTAAATATCAAGGGCTCTTGAACTTTACTATAAACACTCTTCCTGAAAAAGGTTTACATTTCCTGATATTTGACTTAGAAGGATTTGGGGATCTCCTCTGAAACAAGCTTCAATTACAAAGCAAATAATGAAGACCTTACCTTCGTCACAGAAGAATTTGTCTTCTTAAGCGAGAACTGAAATATAGAGGCAAAGTGCAAACCAAAGAAGAGCTGAAATTCCACCACAAAAGGATAAGATCTTTGGTAAGACCTTGTTAACAACGCTTGGGCATGGGGACTACAATACTCCTCACGAGTGTGATACTCCTCATGAATAGAGATAGGATTTTAAAAATATGTTAGTGAGACTATGCAGCCACTAAAAAGAATGCAGTTAAAGTCTAATGTACTAGCATGAGAGGCTGCTCACCAGATGTCTGTACATTAAAAGGATTAAGTTACAGAATACTGTATCTATGAATGTGTCATCCAATTTAAAATACTCATGTATTTATATATGAACAGAAAAACTGCTAGGAATACTTATCTTTGGGGAAAAGGGTTAGAAGGTGGAGGTTCCGGAAGGAAACGAGGACATTTTCAGTTTGTTTTGACTTTTCCATTTGTTTGGGGCCTTTCTTGTTTTGCTTTTGCTTATGGGTGTGTGTCTCTGTGTTCTAAGAGCTTTAAGGAAGTACAGTTTGCAGACCGCAAAATTCACCTGTATTAAGTGTACAATTCAGTGATTTTTTAGTAAATTAACAGATTTGTATATTTAGTTTTGCATTCATGTTGCTTAAGCTGTATATAATTAAATTCTTCTTAGGAATCTTATTTACCTCAAGAATAAGTGATAAGTATACCACTTGGAATTGCTATTTTTACCTCATATTCTCTGTGTCATATGCTTTGCTTAATGTTATCATTCTTAAATATCCCAGCTGAAGAGTCCTTTAGCAGTTAGGCATAACAAAAAAGATAGCTTCCCATCCTCATCATCAAAAACTGGACTTGAATATATTTAGATAAACTCTCCTCTTATTATTTTCTTTTATGTGTGTGTGCATGTATTTATATAAAAATAACAATTATTTTTATAGTCATAGGCATATTTTAAAATTCCAGTATAATTAACATATAGTGTTATATTAGTTTTAAGTGTGCAATATAGTGATCCAACAATTCTACACATTACTCAGTACTCTTAATCCCCTTCACCTGTTTCACCCATCCCCTCATCCACCTCCGCTGCTCTTACTATTTTCAATGGGTTCATACAGCCTTCTAAAATTACTAGACTGACAGTCACAAGAATCAAAATTGACATCCTTTTTTCTGTTCAGGCATTCATAAATAAAAAAAACTATACCACAACATTTTTACCCCAAATCAATTAAAGCAGAATCCAAGAAAATGTTACTTACCAGTTCATACATGAAATCTGGATCTGAACTGTTTGCTAAGAGATCTGTGCTCATCAGAGTCTGTTCTGAAAAGGTGTGGCTTCGAAAGGCATCCCCAAAAGGCGGATCCATTCCGCTTACGCTAGGCTACAACAGAGTGATTTTAACTTTAGAAAGTTAAAGACTACTGCAAGACCACTCCAAGACCAATTTATTACACGCAACTCCCACACCTACTAACATTAGTTTCACAACAATTCTGTATATTTTCTACTCTTTAGCACATTTGAGAGATTAAACTAGCATTAAACTGTGAACTTAAATTAGGAAAATAATGAAGATGCATTAAAAATAGAAAAAGAAATAGTGGCAACTGTTAAATAATACCTAACTTCCAAAAATTAAAGCTTATTTAGCCACTAGAATCAGCATTCACTACCCTAATGAGTACTTTTATTCGGCTATAGAACATTTCTTCAAATGCACCTCTAACAACATTCCCTCCTCTTCTATCTCTCATTCTGTAGTCCTAAGTGAGTCCAGTGTCTTATTTCCCCAAACAATCTGGAAGACAATCTGGGCACCTTTAGTGCAACCAATGCCTCCAGGAATGTGGTGATGAAGACAGATCAGTCAAATATCCAAAAATCTTACTGGTGAGACCAGAAACTTGGGCATGAGCTCAGTAGTCTTAATCCTGATCCCAGAAAAGGGTACAATTCATTCTGTAATAAATAAGGGAAAAGAGACTTGGCACCCAGAGTTGACGCTCCTTCTTTTCTCTCCATCCCACTTTTCCATTTCAACATCTATATAAATCACTCCAGAGGGAAGTCAGAGCCTACACTCCTAAAGCAGCCCAAATAAGTGAAAGGCCTTCCTCTGAAATCTAAACTGGATGAAGGAAGAGGATGTGAAAGAATAAAAATTCCCTCTTTGCCTTTTTGTTCTTAGTCTGCAAGTTTTTGCTGAAACTTTAAAAAAATTCTATTAGTCTATTTGCTTACATTTCTCTATTCATATACCTTCTACCTACCACAAAGTGGCCTTCTTACATGCTCTCCTCTCATGTTTTTCTTTACTGGTACTTCCCAATCCAGTCTTTTCTTTCTCTAATTTTCCCCAACCCTACCAGGCTGCAAGCTCAAAAAAACTGTTATAGCTCTAACTTCAAGTATTGCACAAGTAACAAATTAAACTCTGAATGGGAAAGAACTCCAAATCAGTACGTGCAGTCCACTTGGCCCAGAGATTGGGGTGGAGCTCGGCCACCGGTCTTCTTAATATCAGCTCGCTTTCTTTGCCTCTGAGCCACTGGAGAATCCCACAAGTCGCTTATTTTCTGTGCTCAAGGCATAATTCTGCTTGGCCCTACCTGAAGCCACTTAAGAGTCCCTGCCCTCCTTCTTATTTCTAGGTTTCTCCTCAGCACTGAACCCAAAGAGAGAAAGGGGTAAGAGCTAACCACTGGAGGAGGACAGGAAGAAGTCTGGATGTGCAGTGGGGACACACAGGGCTTCTTTTATTATTTCAGAGATTGCCTCAAACCAGGACTGATCAATTCAAAGTAGTCACCATAATATAAAATAGATCTGATCATTCTCAATAATCTTTTTTGAGTATATGTGTATGTATGAAAGAGAGAAATGTTGAAATCTCTCACCATTTCCTCTTAACTACTTTTAAATTCAAAAGGCATAAATGGAAAGGAATAACTGGGAAACAAGAAGTAGACAAGGAGATGGACGTGGGCTTTCTGTGGCAGATTAATTTTCAGGGGAGTTGGGTGAGCCCACCTACAGCCAGCAGATCTGTCCCCCTTCTAACCAACTTTTCATTCACCATGTTTCCCGTGTCAAGCTCATTAAATTTCAAAGCTGTAGCAAAGGAGGAAATAGAAAATGTCTTAAAATGGGAATTTGTCAAGTTGTGTTAAGATTCAGAGAACTTACAGAACCAAGAATACTGGCTTTCTGCAGTGGGAAAATATAAAACTTTGCACCTACTCTGTATGATTTACCTGAGGCATTTCCAAGCCCAGATCCTGTGAGTCCGATCCCAAACTTTTTTTTTTCCTCGTTTGTAAATTCTTTTCCAGCTTTACTTTTAATTTCACGATCAAAGACGATTTTCACAATAAATGGCAGGTTTTCCCAGAATGTCTTCAATTCAAATGCTTGGATCACTGCTTTTTATTTATTTTTTAATAGTTCTGTGTGAATCTGTCAAACAACAACACAAAGTAACTTCACTGAGCACCATTAAAAACAAGTTGACCTTTCAAAAATGACATTAACAAAGAACACTTTAAAGGAGTCTTATAGTTGCAATCTCAAGAATTTGGTCATTTCTTAGTACTGACTATCCTGAAATTCACCATTCCTCTCTTTGTTTCTAAAAAAGGATAGGTCAATAACCAATTGGCAACATTAAAAAAAAGACAACAACGCCCTGACAAAATTAACTGAGGCCTATCTTTTCCTGAAATACATCTGAAAGATCTACTGTATCTAATGTTAAAGTAAAGCTCCCATTCACTTTATGTTCTGTATGAGAAAATATGTCACAACATTTAATTCCATCTATTGTATAATCATTACTGTAAAATTAATCTACATTTTATATCTCTTATCAATCTACAAGAAGAGTAATGAATACATAAAAGTCAACAATGGAGGTTGCCTGGGTGGCTCAGTCAGTTAAGCGTCTGCCTTTGGCTCGGGTCATGATCCCAGAGTCCTGGGATCGAGTCCCCATAGGGCTCCTTGCTCAGTGGGGACCCTGCTTCTCCCTCTGCCTGCTGCTCCCCCAGCTTGTGCTCTCTCTCTCCGACAAATAAATAAGATCTTAAAAAAAAAAAAGGCTGTTAAAAAAAAATTATTCCAGTAAGTTTTTAACATGTTTATGCTGGGGGAAAATAGGAAAATACCCTGCAGAGGGGTTGCAAGGGTTAAATAATGATTGCAAATCACCTGGCAGAGAGTCTTAACTGTGGTAGAGCCTTAAATTTAAATGTTAATTCCCTTTTCCCTCCTCTGTGAAGGCCTCAATTAAGGGGGTCTAAACAGCTATACCCACTTCATCATCTTTTCCTACATCAGTGGTCCTCAAAGTGTGATCCCAAGACCAGAAGCATCAGCATCAACTTGGATTGTGTTACAACTGCAAAATTTTGGGCTCCAGCCCAGACCAACTAAAGCAAAAACTCTGGGAGTGTTTCTCCCAGTTATATGTTTTAACAAGCGCTCTAGGTGATTCTGACTCTCCCTAAAATTTGAGAACCACTGCCCTGCACTCAACACCTTGCTGTCATTCAGTCTAGTTGCAATATCCTTTCTTAGATTGAACCAATTTAAGCTGAGCTGCTCCATACTTAACACATCTGGACTAGAGGGTTAGTGGTACATTACATCAATTTCAAAGGCCTCTGCAGAACAAGTAAGAGACTGTCAACCAGAGATTCAATAGCTGTTCCACTTAATTAGATTAGTAAAAATTGACAACCATTTGTATTTCCTGGATCTTTGCTGGGCTCTCCCCTCTGGTGGGCTGTCATTCCTACCTTGCTGTTTCTAGCCTAGGAAACACCATTAAGTGCCGAGCCTGGGCCTATGAACAGAATTAACTATGCATTGCAATCCCATGCTATAGTCTAGGCTCCTGACAAAAGGCCAGTTCTGGTCCAGTTCCTCTTTATGTGGCCTCATGCCTTGATCCTACTGCTGATATATAATCTCAGTCCTAATTCTTCCCTTGATTCCTGTGAGAAACAAGGTCAGTTGCCCTTTCTTTTTTTTCTTTCTTTCTTTTCTTTCTCTTTCCCTTCCTTCCTTCCTTCTTGGGGTGGGGAGGGGCAGAGGGAGAAGGAGAGAGAGAATCTTAGCGATGCGGGGCTCAATCTCACAGCCCTGAGATCATGACCTGAGCCGAAATCCAGAGTCGGTTGCTTAACTGACTGAGCCATCTGGGCACCCTGATCAGCTGCCTTTTCTGGACCTGTTACTTCCAACTCCAAAAAGGTGTATGACTCAAGTGATGCATTCAATGAAGTGGGTCAGTATAATCCTGGTCTATAACCTGGATCTGGGAGAAAAGTGTGATATTCTCTAAAATCTTAAGTTTACCCTTACTAAGCAACAGGGCTGAAGACTCGAGAAAAGATTAAGTTCTATTAAAAAAATACTTATTGCCATCAACTAAAGACACCACCTACCGACAGCTTGGTTTATCAGGGAAAACCGTGGACAAAAAAGGGCTAAGTTCTAGTTGCAGCTCTCATTTGCAAACTATATAACACTGGGTAGGTCAATCTTTCTAAGCCTCTTTCTCATTTCTAGAAAGAAAACAATACTACTAATACTACTAGTTTCCTAGCCACCGAATCTTCTAAGCCATAAAACCATAAAATACAAATGCAAACAGAGGTAACCTCACTTTTTGAAGTTCATGTTACACCACTTCGCTTTTACAAAGACCTACACTGGTACCTGTTTTTGCTAACTGAAGGAAATCCAAAGAGGATTTGTGTTTTTGTGAAAATAGTGTTAAGCGTTTGTTGTCCATTGGGCCCTTACAGAAGCAGAACACAACCCAAGCACAGCAGCAGGTACCCCGCCCAGCTCCTTCCCCAGGAACCACTCAGCATCTCAGTACCAAGTTGCCACAGTTCTGAACTGTATCTGTGAACATCTGTGCTTTATCTCGATTTATTTTGTGCATGCATTAGCAAGATGTATCCTAAGGTATCAGAAAATCCTATGAGAGGTTATTTTCTAGGCCTGGGAATGCTCAAAAATTTTCCACATAATTAATGGTAAGTGCTTCTCCACTTTACGCCATTTCAGCTTACGAAAGGTTTCATAGGAGCACTCTACTTTTGCATAGCAGGAGAAACTTTTTTTTTTAATTTTATTTAAACACTTGACATCAAAACTAGGTTGTCAATGCAGTTAGCAAAAAGAGCACTTGTTTGGAGAACTTGACAGGAGACCTGGAATCCAGTTTTGATCCCATAATTAAAACTAAGCAGTCTTATGAATCTGAGCAAGTTATTTAAATTTATGCCTTAGCACCCCACTGAGGAATGACAATTATTCTCCTTTAACTATAACAGGGATGTTATGAGAATTTAATGAGATATTAAATTAGGATATACTAATAAAATAAATCTGAAAGGTGATTATTATCAACAGGTATATTTTGCCAATGCTTTCCTTTGTTCCACAGCTAGTCCATCTCAGAAACTTAACATCTGTGACAGCTACCGGCAGCAAGGCTGAATGTTTTAAAGACACCATTTCCCAAAGAGAGGGTACCCATCATGTTAAGAGTTGAGCACATCCTCCTGGGATAGTTAAAGGTCCTTAGTTGCTTTTCCCAGTCTTTCAGTAGCAGCAAACAGGAAGGGTGAAGGGCCAATTTTACCCCAAGCAGTAGAAGGTCTTTTCATTCTCTGAAACTAATGACCCAAGGTCACAACCAATTATCTTTATCCCCACGGTTTTGCACCCATTTTCCAAAATTCTTGGTACCATTCCAAACATTTATTGTGAAACGACTGTGAACAACAAAATTCACCACCCAAAAGTGGAAAGAAAAGAAAAAATAATAAAGGTTCTACAGTAATTACCATTGCACAGAATCTTCCATAATGATACACTGCTCCCAAATCATCTCCTATACCAGGGAGCCATATACAAAGGGTATATTGATGTTTAGATGGCCAAATAACAAGAGGAAGGTGTAACAACTTGCTCTTCAGGATGCCTTCACACTTCTTTGGGCTTAAGAATACCCATATTTTACTCACAGTTTTGATATTAAAGTTATGTACATTAAAAGCAATGGTCTAATTTCCCAATGTGTAACCTAAGAAATATTTGTTCCAAGGAATGTTAAATGGTTATTCAATAAAAGGGTTATGAGGTTTGGAAAACACCACATTAAATAAAACTGATACATTGGCTCTATGTAGGGCTTCTTGCAAACTTTAAGGTGCTAGGTACTAATGTGCATTGTAAATCACCAATAGGTGACTAGAGCAGATACCATTTCCCAAACTTACTTGATCCTAAAGTCCTCTACCCTGCCCTCAAGCAGACCAAGACTAGTGTTATTAAAAACGACGACAAAAAACCCACAACACCCTAAAGGAAAGGCTAAATCAACTTCCTAGTTAGGAATTCCTTTTTTTTCCCCCAAAGATTCTTATTTACTTGAGAGAGAGCGCACACAGAAGGAGAGGGAGAGGGAGAAGCAGACTCCCCGCTGAGCAGAGAGCCTGACACGGGACCCTATCCCAGGACAACTGAGCCACCCAGGCACCCCATGAATTCCTTTTTTTCGCAGCTCTGGCTCATCAGTTCTCAATACAGTTTTGTGGGTTTTTCAAGGGAAAGAAGACTGTTGTCCATCAGAAATATTTGCCAACAGATTTTCTGTACCTGGGCTCATTCAAAACTATTCAACAACAGCTCCTAGGCACAGGAAAATACTCTATTAACAGAAAACTAGCTCTCTGAAGCAATGTGTGGGTTCAGGGCAGGCTGCCCCAATATGCCGCCCTCACACACTATTTTTAATTGAAGTTACTCAAGAAAGAGCTAGTGCAAGAAAGACACTCTGACCTTCCTCTGTCCCCCTGAAAGCAAGAAATAAATTTCCCCATGTGAGAGGTACCCTCCCTGCACCTGGGAGATAGAAAGCATCCTTACTGCCAGAGATAGGCAATTCAGGGCCAAGAAGGCTATATAAATAAACCTTATTTCTTCATTAATTTGCTACCCTAAGCCCAAACATCTTTGTCAACTCTTAACAGATTTATTGTTTCTTTGTCTAAAAGGTATAAAAGTTGCCTGCTTTGGTCACTTCTTTGAATCTCGTATTTTGATGAGCTCCCATACATATAAAATTAAAATTTGTTTTTCTTCTGTTCATCTGTCTTGTGTCAATTTATTTATATCAGACCAGCCAAAGAACCTAGAACCTAGAAGGGAAGAGAGGAAAAGCTTTCCTCTCCTACAAATGATATGGAGTAAATGACTGATTTATGAGCAGTAATGGTATCACTTGAAGATGGCCACGGCTCAATATCTTTCATAGTTTTTTGTTTTGTTTTTTTTTTTACCAGGTCCTACCCTGGTTTTTTGGTTCTCTACTTGAAAATATGTTGAGGCTTACTATGTACATTAGGCAAGGCAAAAGGTGAAGTAAGGTAAATCAC